ACAGGTTTGTGCTCAGGGCACAAGCAGATGATGTGGAGGTGATACGGGCCATGAAAGCCCCAGAGAGGATCATCCCAAAGAGAAACCTTAGAGCTTGTCATGGTGCACAAACCACACTGTCCCTTAAAGAGCAGCAAATTCTGCCGGGATACATCCACCACAGTGGGTTAAAGACAACTCTTATTTCTGCATCCAGGTTAACATAAGCATCTCTGTGCTCTGAGTTCTAAAATATTTTAGAGGGAAAATACTGTCTTGAACAAGCTGGTTTAGACCACAGTTTGCAAACTCAAGTGTAGGGCTGCACATCAGCTGAATCACAGTAAGGAACCGAGCACATGCTTTTCACTTGCAGCATGCAGGGTACAAGGAATTAGTTTAAAAGCATCAGCTGAATGGGTAAATAGAGTGATTTGAAGTAGTTTCATGAACTTGCATGTAGCTTAGACCAAATATGCACTCATGTTGCTGTAGCTCAGCTGAAGTGGAATAACTTGGGAAGTCTGAGCCCTAGAAATGCTTCCTTGTCCACTTTGAAGTGAACTTCTTAGCTCTGGCATTTCCAAGGACAGAAATTCCTCTTGGTGCATAGAGGGGACAAGACACGTCCAGTGTGAACTGTGTATTGGTACACAGTAGAGCTCATGTTAGGTCTCCTACCTTTGAAGACACGAGTCACCCAGCGTGCTTGCATCTCAGTCACGGGCATCATGGCTCCTAATGTCTTGATTAGCCCAATGACAGCTAGGGTAGGCCTCTGCAAGTGGGTTGGGAATACATATCTGTAGAGGGATGCATGGTTGTTTTCCACCTTGACGTCTGCTTCTTCTAGGAATGGGAAGGAGACATTGTAGCCTGTACAGAAGATAACAATATCAATGGGCTCCTCCTCAGGGCACTTGTGGAAAATAACTGAATTGTTCTTGAACTCCTTGATGCCTGGCTTGATGGTGATCCTTCCTGTCAGGATGTAGCTTGGAAGGTCATCATTCAGCACGGGCTCACGCATGAGGCAGCTGTGGAGAACCAAGGCACTCTGAGTGTTGGAGACCACGAATAAGCCCTGCCACTGTCCCTGCTCCTCCCTCTGGGCCCTCCAGCCCCACGATCTCTTGCTGTCATTTTCTCCGAGCAAACAGCCCTGCATCCTCCCTCTCTAGATACCAATGTGTTTCACCCTTGCAGCAATGTCACTCTGTCCCACAGCCTGAGTGACTCACAGACATCTGTCGCCTTCTTCCACTTGCTCAATTACTCTTTAAACCATCTCTTTTCAGAGCCAATCTATGCTTTAAGCCTCTCTCCTCTTTCCTGGGCTTTTCCAGCGTACTCCATCTCGCACTGCCGGGCTGCAAACTCCCTATTGGAGATCACCCCAGTCCAGGCATTGGTTGCTGTGCTGGCTGATGTTAGCTGCTGCAGATCTGCCTGCCTGCCCACAGCACAAGCCCTGTGACACTGCATGGGATGGAACCCACCAAGAAGTACCTCTTCTCTGGTTGAAGGCCATAGTTTTCATGATTGAACCTCTGGTTAAGCCTGTAGTTAATCAATGCCCGTGAAAGGGGTCCAGGAAGGCTGTTTCTGATCAGGCTCCGAAGGCGAGTGTTGAAAACCATGTCCCATGGGTAACCCTGGTCAAACACACGGCTGAGCAGCCAGGCACCTCGGCCGGTGCTAATGGTCACCTGGGAGAGAGTGCAGAATCAATGATTTAGGTGATAAATTTGCTGCTTTGCCTGTATAAAGTACACTGAGAGAGGCACAGCACAGATGGCTATGCAATGAAAATGCAGCAACAGCATCTTTAAGATGTCCCACCAGCTTGCAATGGAGGTGAAACAACCAGTTTTCTTCCAGGGTAGGTTTTTGTCCAAGAAATACAGGTTCAGAAATACTGTTTGGACACTATGCACGGTAAACCCAACTTACATTCCCTGTAGTGTTGGCAAACTGAGCTATTGCCCCCAGTGTCGCTGTCCCCACACTGCTGAGATGGCTGGGTGGTGGTACCTTTTTGGCTATGCGGCTGGCCTCCACTGCGATATCTACTCCTGAATTGCCCATGCCGACCACGAGGACGCGCTTCCCCCGAAACACGTCAGGATGCTTGTACTGCCGGCTGTGAAAGTACTGCCCTTGAAATTTCTTGATGCCTTTGGAGAAAAGAAACAAAGCTCTTTTACTTGAACATTTGTGGATTTTTTTAGGAGAACTGGTGCAGAAGCAATCCAGATTGCAAGCGCAAGGGAGTGAAATCTGTGGCCACTAGGGACTTGGGGAGGTCCAACCCTACATACACAGACTTGGCGTTTCCTCTCTAAACTGGGGTCTCACACATGCCTGCACAGCAAAGAGCAGGGATGCATGTGCTGGGTAGGACTTGGAAAACAGTTATGTACAAGAGCTGTGCTGGTACAGTCTAGGGATTCAGCCTCTACAAGATAGGGACACAGAGGTTCAGAAAAGCCTGCTGACCTCCTGTCCTGCAAGGGGCTGCAGAAACACTTGATAATGTTGATGAGAAGGCAGCCCTCTCTATGCCGACAGCAGGGGTGATTCATCACACCAGTGATGAATGCAGGCCTATCAAAGATGATGGAACTTCACTGAGAGGACTTTGTCCACCATGCATACTGTATATTTCTTTGAGGCTAAGCCACCCTGCCTTGGAAGCTTGCTCTGGATTGACCAGTGCCTGCAAAAACAAGGCTACTGAAGCATGAGGACATATTGCTATTCATGCTGGGAAGTTTGAAAAGCAGAAGTAAGTACAGGAAAGAGGCATTTTCCCCTAGGCATCACTAATCCTTCCTCTCCCCCCAGCCCCCAGAAGCAGGTCACTGCAGTCAGCCAGGCACCATACCAGGAAAGCAGTGCAGGGGGAGGGACGGCTCAGAGAAATTGCCACTGCAAACCATAACGGCATCGAAGACATACGACGTCTGCTTCCCATCTGCCTCTGTGACCACATCCCACTGGCCCGTGGTGGCAAAGTCAGGGTGTTTCCGGATGCTGATTACGGCTGTCTGAAATGTGGAAGTGAAGTGGAGTCTCCACCAGCACCTGGCATGCACAGGGAGCAGGGCAGTGGTGGGGCACTCATCACTCACTCCAAATTTTATGTGCTTCCGCAGGCCGAAGCGCTCGGCATAGCGCTGGAGGTAGTCCAGAAGCTGGGCATTGGGCAGGAACACTGGGAAGTCCTCAGGGTAGGGGAAGTCGGAGAACGCTGACATCTCCTTTGAGGTGTTGCTGATGACCGACGGGTAGAGGCTTGGCCGGCCGGCCTCAATGTGCTCCTGGCACGGTACCCCGGGTGCATCAGCCCTGCACCCCAGGCTGGGGACTGTCCCCCCACTCCCCTTCCCTGGATCTCAGGGAGTGCAGCCAGGAGAGGTCAGCACCCAGCAAGCTCTTGCACCCCTTCCCCACCTGCTGGCACCCAGCTTGACCAGCTCCCCAGCCTGTAAAGCTGCAGCTCCCATGGGAAGGAGGACAGGCACTGCCAGCTTACCGTGTAGCGCCAGACACCCCCAATGTCCTCGCTCTGCTCGAAGCAGGTGGGCTCCAGCCCCTCTTCCAGGCAGCACTTGGTGGCTGTCAGCCCACTCACACCTGCACCCACTACTGCCACTCTCCTCCTCGTCGTCTCCGCCAGGATCCCAGGCTGTGAAGAGGGCTTAACCTGGGAGAAACCCCACAGATGGTCACCACCCCCTCAGGCAGCTGCCAGCAAACCTTCTATATGAGATTTCTCTGTATGTCACCCCCAAACCAGCATTCTGGGCTCCTCATTTACAAGTTAGACAAAATGTCTTTAAACCTTCATTTTCTCTCTTTTTAATTTTTTTTTTATTTTTTAAATAAATCCATACACTTTTACAGTATGCTCACCAGGCTGCTCCCAAAACCCTGCAGCTACCTTGGAAACTCACTTTGAAAGAATGCGGCTAAACCACAATTTGCTGCCAATTTTTATTTACAAGCTGTGTTTAAACTATTTATCCTTATCAGTCTTGCAGATATTTATATTTTATCTTTGGAGGTCCGCCTCTGCCTTTCTCAGAAAAGAAAATTAAACATGCACTGAGACTATTCAGTCTCTGTATCACTGACTGGGTCCTCTCCCTCTTTCCCATTGAAGATGTTGCCAGCATTGACACAGACGCTAAGGCCAATGGAGGGGCTGTGGACCTTAACTTTTGAGATGCTTTTGTGTCTTTTTCTCAAAGTCCACCCACTGATGAGGTCTAGACTGGACAGACAGGCTTTTGCAGGGCTGCAAGTGCCTCCACCCTGGGGTTCAAAAGGCAGCAGTCTCTGAGCTGATGTCCAGCCCTACAAGGCTGCCAGGGCTGCAGTGGGGATGATGAATTCAAACTCTTTTTGATAGGGCCAAGCAATGAAACCAGGTATGATGACCAGGCACTTTTTCCTCAGCCTGGACATTGCCAGAGTTGGGATGACCATGCAGGTGTCCTGGGGGTGCTGCTGTATCCCCACTGTCATCAGGGAGCACCCTGCTTGACTGACTTTTCAACTCAGTGTATGGGGATGGCACTATGACCTGCTGGCACTGGCTCCGCCACCCCAGGAAGTGCTTGCAGCTTCCACCAGTCACAGGGGATCAGAGGGTGGTGTATTTGTCAGAGAGGGAAAAAAAAAAAAGAAGTTTTCAGTAGAAAAATGGGGTTGCACACAGTATTTTCTAAAAAAAAGACCAAATTCCTGAACAATTTCAAATTTCAGTAGGAAGGCAGGACTTAATGAATACTCTTCTTTCCAAGGCTTCAACGAAAACTGGACTTCTTCCTTTTTAAATTAAGAAAGTGCTAGCTTAAGCTGCTCATTGTTTCACTGTTTTGAGTGGGGTTTTTTTGCATAGTCGGAGTTAACATATCACAAACATCTCCCAGGTATGTATGCTATTTAACTCCTTACCCTTTTGTAAAGAAGCTAGAAATAACATCCAGGAAACACTGTCTCTACCACCCCATGCCTGCTTCTGTCACACTTTGCATACTGTCACTGGAAGTACTCATAGCAACTAACCTCAGAACTCCGAAGCCATGGGGCAGGGAGGGATGGAAAGGCTGCACAGTCCCCGGGGGCACTTACCTCCCAGGCTCAGCCGCCTGCACTCAGTCCTGCCGCTGCTGTGGGAAGAGCTCTTCTGGCTTCCCATTTATAGGCAAGGCGCGGCTCTTTGGCAGAGGCAGGGGAGGGCGGGCGGCTCTTCCCACCCTGGCACGGCCACCCCACTCCCACGGTGGTTGCACAACCAGGGCTTGTGGGGGGAGGAGCAGCTGGAATCTTCTGCTGTCACGCAGGGTGAGCCAGATGGCCTGGCTGATGATCCCTAAAGGGGGTTGAGTGGGTGGGGAGATAGCAGAGTGGTCCAGATGTGTCCTGCAGTTGTGCAAGGAAGACCTGCATGTGCAGGGGTGGCTCCAGCAGTAGAATGTTTTCACTTGCCTCACAGCTGCCTTCCAAAAGGGAGTCAAAGCAGTCAATGGACAAGACGGGTTTGGCCGGACTTTGCACTCAGAGCACTTCCCAAAAAAGAGAGCTGGCTTTGCAGTCACTGGTTATGGGGTGCAGAGGCTGTGTCGTGCCATTGGCCACACGGACAGCTGCCGGTGGCAGGCAGGAGGCTCCCTGTGCAAACTGGGAGGGCGTGAAATAGCCACAAACATTAGTGTCCAAAGGTCCTAAGTGCAAAAAAAGTGGAAATGTTAGCTAAAATATCAATGTAGGACATCGCACCCGTCCAGGTATCTCCCAGGCATAAATGATCACGGAAACAAAGGGAACAAGGGTGTCTTTGGATGGAGCTTTGCTCCCAGCTGCTCAATCTGTTTAGGGCTGACTGGTGAGAAAGTATAAAATATCTGCAAATGAATACAGCTGGACACAGAGACCATGGATAGCCATTTAGTGGCGGACTAGGTCTTTAAGAAAATAAATGTTTAGAAAAAGACATAGTGATATTTGTGCCATGGTGGTGACAGCAGATAACTCATTGAGGCTCTGTAGTATGAGTGCAGGGGACGTGGTGAAAACTGTCAGCACCATCAAGGCATCACCTTGCCACTGACAAAGGTGCTCCGGGAGCGATGGGCTCAGATTTGGTATCCACTCTTGAAGCAGTTTGAATAACCAAGGAGTCTGCAATGGGGGATGGGGGGAAAACCCCATGCAAGGCCTGCAGAACAGAAAGTGGTGAATAAAGCAGCTCCAGCCAACAGAGACAACTGCTCAGAGCCTGTGTTCAGATCTGCAGAGGCATAAGATGGGCACATAGCTGAAAGTGGAAACCAGAAGTGGAAATAAGATGTACATTGGTAACAAGGAAGGTAATTACTCATAGGAAAAGTCTGCTGAGCTTTGTGGTGGACCCAAGTACTTGAACAAAATATGTTTGGTTTGTGGAGGGACAGGACTCGCCTCCGCTGTGTTCGGGCACTGCTAGGAGTGTGGAAACCTGGGCTGCCACCCATCTGCAGCACCCACAAATAGACATCAGCCTTCTCAGGCTTCCCTACCCTTGGATCTCCAAGTGTTTCTGGCCAGCACTTGGCCAGGTTCAAAGCACATGCCCAGTCTGGGTCTGGTTGTGCCATCCACGCTTCAGCACAGCTCAGTCAGCAGTGGCTGAGAGCAATGTGTTCAAGGGCTAGAGCCTGTGAAATCAAACTCATTCTTTTGAGCTTGGGTTTCAGACCACTGCCAGCAGCATGAAGAAACATTCAGGTTTTGCTCTCCCAGGCCAAAGGGACACAGTCGCTGAGGCAAATGGGCAACAAGATGCACATCTTTCATGCTGTTGGGATCTGCACAGGCTATGCCTCCCAGCTTTCCCTCCCACTGAACTCTTCTCCAGATGCACAAAGCCTTGCAGCTGCAAAGATGCTTGCCAGTATTCAGGAAAAAAAAAAAAAAAAAAAAAAGGGAATCCACAAGGGCAAGTATTTTGTTCTTTATATGCTTCTGCTTTACTGAGTTTCCCAGCAGACATCCAAGCAACTCACAGTTAGAGGGACACTGTGACATCTTCACAGGAGTGCTTTTGGGAAGGCCACTTTAGGGAAGCTTTCTAAAAAGAACTAGTTGTATTTTGGTGTAGATGAGCTACTGACAGGAATGGGGCCAGATGCCTCTGCTGCAGCTGCTTACAGCAGTGGTGGCTCTGGCCACCCCTGACTGTGACTCCGGTCTGGAGGTGCAGGATGAGCTGCGGTGAGTAGTACCACACGAGCCTAGGGTAGAACCACCTCCAGTGCCTCAGTGCCCTCAGATTAAAACTCACTTTCCTGCGATCTGCCCCAGGTCTCTGGTGTTCCCCACCACGAATAACCTTGTGATGGTCTGTACCAGGTATGCAGAACAAAGTTTTAGTGGAGACAGGTGGTGTAATAGCCGAGAGGTAACAACTGTAATGGACAGGAGCACCTAGGGTGCTAAAAAGCCCTAGGACACACACATGGAAATTCTGATTGCTTTACTCACCTCTGCTGCTGGCACAACAGGGAATGGCATCCTGGGACACATCTCTCCAGCTCTTCTCCAGGGACAGGCTGTGCAGAGCAGAGAAGAGAATAGGCTAGACAAAACATCAGTGGTTTTCATATATTGTTAGGGCTGGAAAAATCCTTCATGGCCTGGTGTTGAAGCAGAGCATCTCCTAGTACGCTTGGGACAGTCCTCTTGAATTTCTGTTATTATGAAGACAGGATCAAAGACATTGCAAAGACGGGGCCACAGAGGCCCCTGTCCCCATTTCTGAGCAAATATGATCTGCTGCCACCCCACTGTGAAGGGAAGGAGGACTCTGTCTTCACCATCACTCACAAAAGCTGCTGAAGGAAATGGGCTTTCACCAAGGGATGGAGTGAGGCCAAGTGAGGGCACGTAGTTTGGGGAACTGTTTTACTAGCTTCCCTCTAATCAGCCTGGGACACTAAACAGCTGGGTTTGTCATATGCTGGGGGACCACAGGGAGAACGAGGAGCAGTAAATAACCAGTGGTGGCTTAGGACGAGAACCAGGAATGGGATGCTCACACACCTGCCCACTGCTGAGCCCCTTCACCCCTTGAGAAGCAAAGCTCCATGGCACTGTGGCACAAGCCTGGGCTATGCAACAGGCATTTTAGCCTTAAAGTAGGGGGAAGGAGAAACTTAATATATCCATTTAGTCTTAATCAGATGGCAAAGGCACCTTCTCTGTGAAACTCCAGCACCAGTTCTATCATCTCTGTTTAAAACAACACTTTAAAGTGAGGAGGAACAAATCTATGTACAAACAAGTCTTGGCACAGCTCACTTTGCTGTTTCATAGGCTTGTGTCAGCAGCTTTTGGCATATGTCATGGTGAAGGGGAACAAGAAAAAGAAAAAAATCAATTTCTTGTTAAGTCAGTCTCTAAGCGCAGTGGGGTGCTCACTGTCCAGCAGCTGCTGCTGTCACACGTGCTCAGGAGCTATGGAATGAGAGGTCTGGGCTCATCAGTGAAACAACTCATTTTCCCCTTTCCAATATTATCACTGCCTTTAGTGACCAGAAGGCTTTAAGCACCATTTCTTTACTACACAAAGAGGTAAGGTTGCCCTAAAAGTAGCTGTTGCCTCCCATGACTTCC